ATGGGTGTGAAAAGGACCAGGGGTGTGAAAAGGAGTGTCGCTACACTGTACTGAGTAAGATATACCTCGAGCAGTTTCGACTACATCACATGATCACGAAGCGTCACGCTTACACTGTTTTGAGTGGCGAATAATCGTAAAAAACGATAGGCTCAGGATGTAGCACCTAAACGAATGTTTTGGCCACGGAAAAAACCTAGGGAATGGCTGATACTTTCGATGATCCGCGGCCGAATTTTAGGTCCGCGTTCACAAGTAGATACATAATTTGTGCGGCAGAAACAGCACAGATGCTTATGTAATCATATAGTTACATTCATCAATCAGGCATTATACGATAGCTTATCGCATTGGACGCTAGCACTGGATTACCTGCATTATGATTTGAATTAGTCTAATTGGCAGCGGTTCGGACTGTTGTCCAAGCGAGGACTCTCAAAGACATCTTTTGGCGCGACGCAGCGTCCCGGTGGCTTTTGGCCCACCGGAAACGCCCTAAAAATACATTTTTTCGGTTCGAAAGACCGCTGTGGACAATACTGAACAAAACACTATATGGATAGGGAGGGATGGTGGGTATGCGAAAAGGGATCTGGTGCGATCCATTAGTTAGCCACGAAAGAGTGTGTGCTCTCTGAGAACAACATGCCTGGCGGGATCCTTGAGGTGCAAGAAGGAGAGTGCGCATTCCTATTTCCTCTACCCGCCAGATATATCACTCTTTTTTGTCGACCCCCTGTATTCCGTCAGCCTCCAAATCAGCTCGGCGGGCGGGAGCCTCCAAAAACGGAGGGCGTCATACCGGGCGCGGTAGGTTTGAGAACTTGTAGCGCATCGGCCCCAATAAAAATTTAAGCTCAATTAAAGTGTATGTAAACTGCCTTATCCCTCCGTTCCCCATGACTGTCACAGTGAGTCACGGCGTGATGATAGTGGTCGAAACTGAGTAATTTGTATATTATTTGAGACTAGTAAGCATCATTGGCAAAAATGAATATCCTCAGCATGATCAATTTGCTCGTTGAATCGGCAGGATACAGACAATACATGGATGACGTAATGATACAAATCTGGCATCAATGCATAGATAAAATGAGAGCCACCAATTGCGCTACATGAGTGCGCGCCCAACGAGGAAAGATGAAAAAGCCTAACACAAAGCTCATGAAATGCGATCGGAATAAAGGGCTTAATAGGGGATGAGCCTGGTTTTACAAGCCATACGCTCCTAAGCATTGTCTGATTTGAGGATGATACAATCTGCGAAGGTTAGCCGGAAATAAATCACCAAAAAGAGGATAGTAGAAAAGATATAAAAGACAAGGAGAGGAGAGATGACTTAGCCTCAAATATCGTAGAGTAGCTGATTCCACAGTCGGTTGGAGTGGTCGGTCTTGAAAATTCGGAATAACCGGGAGGAGCATTGACGTGCCATCTGATGGCTTCCGTCTACCGCCACCCAATGAAGGAGACTTTTTTTGTGGAAGTGAAAGCCTTCGGTATCAGAGGTAGTGCCAGTTCCATATGAGGATCGGATTACGACCAGATCCTCCAGGGGATTTACCGTGCAACGCACTCTCATTGGACTCTCAAACGCTTATGATCTGCGCCCGTATCGTCGTTAAATCAACCCTATCTTCGGAACGATTGACATACCTGGAGGACTAGCAGGGTGATCTTCATCTTCAAACTCGTCATCTAGATCGAGTTCATCATGTACCCGCTTCACTGCTATGCTAGGGGAGGTCGCTCTAAGGGAAATAGTATCTCCGGCATGCGAATCTATGTCGGGGGACCTTGCCAGGGTTTCTTCTTGATCATCACCATCCAGCGACTCAAAACCCTCGTCGCCAACGGAAGCGCCGTCTAAGAATCCAAAGGCCTGTTAACCGGAAGGGCGTGTACACAATAAGAATTCGATGCTCACCGCCATCCAGATTTTGTGGGGTCGTCAAACAATATGGGGCGACCGACACGGGCAACGCAACTGGAGCCTCTGGGATTGCATCGAACTGCGACGCATCAAAATCTGACCGCGTATCCATTAGTACATAGATATTCAGAAAACGGCAATAGACGAGCTCCCACCCTCGCTATCTTCAAAGGAAGATAAAAAGTCAGTATGTTGTATCTCACCAACGGGCTTGATATGAATACCTAAGCCAGATCCCGCATGAATATCAAAAGCGTCAAGCAATGTGGAAGTACGCACCCGATACGACATTATCTTCTAAAACATCGAGATCGTCTGAGGTGTCATGCGCAGAGGGATGCGCTTTAACCTCGGTTGCTTCGTTGGCATCCACCGCTTCTTGGTTATCTTCACCTTCGTATACTCCATTATTCAAGGTTTCAACCGCAACCTCATCCACAACGAGGTTCCCTTCAAGCTCCTCTTGGAGGTCCTCTCCAAATTGCTCCTCGTTGTCGACATTGTCAGTGTAGTCCACATAATCCTCCCCTTCATCAGCATCCGCACATTGACGGACTTCATGCTCGTTAAGAGTGTCTTCCGATTCTCCACTGTCACCTTCGAAAGAGGCCGCCACAACGTCAGAAGTCCCATGGTCGCGTACGTCTCTTCCACCTTCCCCAGCATCCCCATCATTCTGTTTAGAAGAGGTATCATCTGCGACCTCGTCAGTTGTCTGCTGAAAATCATGCGAAAGAACGTCGTCAGAAGTCCGTGTATCTGGTCTTTCACCATCCTCAAGTACTCTCCCAATATCAGCAGAATAGCGGTCAGGAGCAATTTGCTCCTGCTCTTGCTCTTGGTCATGCTTATGACCATGCTCGTGCTCGTGCTCGTGCTCATATTCATGTTCTTGTCCCTGTCCTTCTTGGTCTTGGTATTGCGTTTCGTCATGATCGAGAGCTGCATGGAACATAAGTGTTAGACACGCGTAACGATAAGAACTCAGCTGTCCAACTTACAGAATTTACCCTGCTCATAATCATGAGTGTCTTCACCCGCCGCTAAATCTAGTCGCGCTATTTGATCTCGAAGGGCTTGATACCGAATAATGAATCGGGGTATTATTGAACGCAACTCAAGACGAAGTGGTCCATATAGATCAGCACCGTCGTGTAGGACGTTGAGATCATGAAGTGTTACTTCATGTACATGCACATTATCCTGAAGCAGATGACAATCAGCGCTAGAATGTACGATGAGTGGTGATGCCCAACCTCCGAGATACTAAGCTGTAAGTCGTACGCCTCCAGTAGTAATTCGCCATTGTCTAAATCCAAGAAATTTTGAATGCTCTCATCCTGACGTAATGCATCAAAAACAGCGGATAATGGCTCATAATAGAGGGTTGGACGATGATGCAGCAATAAAGCCAAAGATCGTTGCTGAACGGTACTAGTCGATGGACTTTGAGATCCAGGACTGACGCTAGGCTGATTAAACAGCGAACTCTCGAGAGTTCCCGCGGGCGAAGTCACCGAGAGTAGCACCGCAGGAGGAGGATCGATGTAAACCCCTTCAGATATTTCATGCGGATCACCTTCATCCGCTCCCACATCGCCCTGGATGTCTGTTGGGTCTAAAGGGTGTTCTGAGAAGGCTTGGTTGCTATCTGGTTCGTGCTGAACCGTTAGACGCGGGTCGGCGGGGTCGGCCTGCTCTTCGGATACCGGGATCACAATAGTGGTGGGGTCAATACGAGGAGAGGAATCACTAGTATCACTCGTCGATTGCTTGACAGCTGTACCGCCCGCGGGGACGTCCTTGCCACGTTGAAGGTCATGAGAAGTGCTAGTCGACGTAGAAGCGACCGCGGTCGTGTCAGAAATGGCCTGGGTAGATATACCGTCTACTGGGAAGTAAGTGGGCGATACATCCACAGCTGCTAGCTGAGCCGCTGAATTATTGTAAGCGTCGTCGCCAGACTGCAAATGCACATCCGAAAGATCGGCAGACCGTGCTTCTGGCAACCTATCAGCAGGCAGGGATACAGGTAGTGCAGCGCTGACCAGTTCAGCGTGAACAGGAATAAGCTCGGTGTTGCTGCGATCGGCATCCGCAACTGCTGGAATTATGGTATTATCCATCAAGTCAGCTGGAGGGCCGGATGCAATTGCCGGAGCAGATATCTCTGGTACGAGATGAGTTGGGCTTGAAGCGATGTCCAGACGATGCGGCGAGGCGGCTCGAGAGGCATCCACGACATCAACGTCAAGGGAGTCAGCATCGTGCTCTCTATGTATTGCCGCCTCATCAGCCATCTCGTACTCCACAATCTCAATACCATTGTCCTCCATATCGACCTCAACACTATGCTGAGCAAAGATCTCGTCCAGATTTGTGCTTGGATCCAGGTGGTCGTCCGTCATGGTCGCCTCTGCTGGGAGCCACGGGTCGGATGATGCGTTCCCGGTGTACATGTCAGTGTCGCCCGAGTCAAACATTTGAGTGTCGAATGATTCTATGATCATAGTCGTAGACATTTGTAGCAGGAGAGAATAGAAGAGGATCTGGAGGAAATGCAGTAACCTTCATGCAAAGGTGGCCAATGTGCTTTTACGAAGGACGCGAAGACCATGTGGCGGGTTTCAGCGCTGAGCATAATATTCAGGGCAGGTTTGATCACATAAGCGCCCATGAACCCACCGACCGTGTGTTGACCGGGCTCCAGTCCACTGACATAGGTCCCGCTCACGCGTTGAGCTGCGAGTGGCTGTAATAGGTCCACAATGGCAATACAAAGACTCGTGAAGACGACAGCAAGGTTGCAATAACTTGACCCACACAAACACTGCGTAAGGTTACTTCGTGCTAAGAGACACCACCTTGAATGTGCCATTCGACGAAACTTTCGCGCTTTCCCCCGTCTCAACCCATCTTTCATCCTCAATTTCATCCTCATCATCGTCGCCACTCAGGAGCTTGCCTACACTTGGACCTCGCACGACAAGCGTGCCAATAGGGTCTGTTCCCCCTTCGATGGCGGCATCATCAACGCCAAGAAGTTTTGCTTCGACATTGACCGAAGGGGGTCCAACGGGAGCAAGGTAAGCAAATGCATACGTATTCGCCGCAGGGCCCACAGCAGCCTTAACGTTCGGCAAAAATGTTTGTAAATCGAGGGGATGCGAGGCGAAAATTGGCCCCGCCGCAAGGGGATGGATGTGTACATTCACCAGAGGTACGGATAGAGCAATGCGGGACGGCACAAGCGATTGCGCTTCGATAGGACCTATGGCATGACCTCAGTAGTTGGCTAAGAGAGTAGGGATCATTGTACCTCCGCCTGTAAGTACAGCTCTAACAGTGCCAGCACCTTTGCCCATCGCATATGCGCGTGCACTATCGAAGACAAGTCGATCCCACAGGCTCTGCTTTGTAATGTAGCCATCAAGAATGGCTGCATATTTGTGTCGCCATGCGAGCGAGTACAACAACGACGATGAACTCCTGGCCGCCTCCAAAATAGACGACGTCAGAGCAGCCAGATGGGATGGTTTCACGAAAAGGATCGTCGGTGAAGGAATTGGAAGAGCACTCGCGGTAAGCAAGTCAGCGAGATCTGACGCTTCATCTGTATTGCTATACGTTAAATCGTACGCAATGAAAGGCTAAATTATGGACTCACTTTTCTTCTGGACAAACATTTTCGTGCTGTCGAACGTCGCGAAACTTGTTCCCTCATTGACAGCAGTATAAGCCACGGCGCGCCCATATGGCGTACACATGGGAAATGCAGACACAATAGTGTCAAGCGGCGAGATGGCATTTGACAGTGGAAGCAAGTTGCGGGTAGCAGCAACACCAGCGGTTAGATTTTCATGAGTTAATTGCGCGCCTCGAAGTTCTCCGGAAGGTGAAGAGTAGAACGACACGGACAACACGTCCTTAGGGTCTAGCAGCTCATTAGTTTGTCAAGCAAGTCATTCCGCTTGCAAGTGCTTACTTGGTGTTGCAAATGGTAGCTGCTCAAGCCGAGATCCATGAAGTTCGACATCGTCCCACTTGAGCAGTTGCACATGACCTGGCACATCCTTCCCATTGGATTCTCCGACCACTACTATAGCGATATGTGTGCTATCGTTCGAGTCCAATATGAGCTCCAAAAGATGAGGCAGAAAGCTAGCATGAGTTATGATAACCGACGGCGGATGCGTCTCGATTACGGACGACAATAACGACAGCGAAGTGATCATGAAAGAAGGAACAGAATAGGAAGCGAGAGCAAGATCAGCAATGAGCAGTTCTATTCAGAAGTCAGAATGATATAATGGTGGCACAATGCCATTATACTCACCAATACCATCGTCCAGAAGCAACAATGCATTTGACTCCTGAGGAACTAATTTTGTTAAATGTATAAGACCCGTTCCGAAACTTGCAATTCGACCCCTCAGCTCGGGATTTGTAATCTACGCCATCAAGAGAACTCGAGAACGATGATCATGGACTACAACAAAGTTTAAGACACACCTTCATGGACCACAAAGTGCGAGGAGCATCCAGGTCAGGCTTTACCAGGTCAATTAAAACATGTTGCTCCTTGCTGGGTCTCACAGGGAACTGCAACGTTCTTTGAAGTGTCTAGAAACATCAACAACATGACTATAACATACCCGTCCTAGCATCCCGGTGCTATAATTCCTGTAAACTGCGCTCTCTCCAGGGTGCCTTACACGGGCTACATCACTCTGTCTCCCCAAGAGAATAGGATGCACGAGAGACTGAGGCCTGTAGAGATTGTGGAGAAGGAACAGACATGCTGCTACTAGACCTAGAACGATAGTGAGGTCGTCCGTAGCAATATAGTTGGATACCGCCATGACAGCGAAGTCTGAACTTGTGAACAATCTCAAGCGGTACTTGCGTCTCAAATACTGTCAGCGAGCGGTTAGGACCCGAGTTGCACCAGTGCTCATCTCGTCGATGCCGCCGTACCAACGCTTGGCAGCATAACCCCTAACCCCACAAGTCACGTCTTTTTAAGCTCCGACGCGACCGTGTCTGAGCGCGCCGGACGCGTTCAATCTCTCTTGACTTGCATCGCGGTCCTGCCCTCCGCAGAGTCACTGCTTCATCTAGTTTTCACCGTCTGGTTCCTATGCAGGTGCAGTTAAATGTCGTGCTGTTTAATCAGCGTCTACAGGCCATTCTCAAGGCATGGAATGTGAGCACATCTTCAATTAAGCGGCTCATTCTCGCTAACCTCTCGTTCTAAATTTTTGCGATAGACCGCCCCTAATGATAGCGATTATAGCTCAATCTCTGATGTACAAGCTCTTCTTCTAACGTCTGGAGATCCTGCTGGTGAGGATGAACCCATCCGGAAGGGCACCGCGTTTCAGGTGAGGTTTCTGACCAATATTTCGTCCAGCTTAAATGGGAGCTCACGGCTACCATGTAGACATGGCTCCTTGGATATGAATTTCCCTCCACGTTCATTCTGTTCCAGAGGGATCGCGTTTACGTATTATGTTCGGCATCAAAAGGTGTGGCGCTCACCATGTTCTCCCACAATGTGTCTGACGAACCTTTCTTTGCAGCCAAAATCCTGTCACAGATTAAAGGCTCAGGAAGCCCTGTTCCGGTCGACGTTCTCATCCAAGCGAAGGCGAAGGAACCTCCGACTGATGCCTTACCTAAATTTCTTCAGGCCTACGCTACTCATAGCCGCGTCGGAGCTCTGACGAAGGAATCTCAGTCCGGCAAGCTTGTGGAAGAATGGAATAAAGCAATAAGCGAACTCGAACCCAAGCCGACGCTGATAGACATGGCACCAGCCGTATCTGCTTTCATGGCTGTGAAAGACGAGGATGAATTGGTATGCCGCATATGTTGCAAGCCGGGGACTGTCTATGTACTGAAAATGAGATGCTCAGAAATCAATGCGAGCAGCTGCCAATCTGACTTCTACTCTCCTTGCCCATCATGTGGTGCTCAAACTCGAGACTATACTTGACAGGGAGGCTAAGATATCTCACGAAGCGTTCGCCACTCAGATCGAGTCACGGCTTGGTTATGGTGAAGGGGAGACTGCAAAAGGGCCTGATATGAAGGTGTGGAGCAAAGGTCGAGGTCTCACTGATGTAAGTGCTTTAATTTCACTTTATATTGCCTTGAACGATCGTCTTGAGAACTCATTAGGTAGATTGGTCATCCACGGAGTTTTGTTACACTCCAATCATCCAGTCTCAATCAACAAGCACCGGCTATGATCTCAGTCCTGCCGCAGAATCATCATCCGATGACATAGCTCACAAGGGCGTATTCCTCGTCGCGTTGGGCATGCGTTACAAAGGCTATTGTGCTAACCTTGGACGGAGTTTCATAGTTGATCCGTCTAAGGTGAGTTTTACCCTCTGCTTTTATGTATGATGCTCAAATTTCGCCTCGCCTTTGTTACAGGAACAAGAAGCGATATACCACCTTCTAACATCACTCCAAGGAGAAATCATCCAGCACCTCAAAGAAGGCGCTGTCGCGCGAGATGTATACCAACGGGCGCTTACGTTCATAAAAGAGAAGAAACCTGAGCTTGAGAAGCATTTTGTCAAAAACGTTGGCCATGGAGTATGTTGACGGTGTCTGTTTCATGCTTCCGTCGTTGTGACTGAACTGTGGTAGATGGGGATGGAGTTTCGTGATTCGACATATCTCTTATCTTCTAAGAATGGGAGAACCTTGCGATCCGGCATGGTGTTTAACCTCGTTCTTGGTTTCCAAGACTTGGAGGAGAATGGGAAAAAGTATAATCATTTGTCTCACTGACGTGATTCTTTTGCTAATTGATATGCTGTCTAGGTATTCCTTGCAGCTCGTTGATACTGTTCAAATCAACAATGAGAAGGCTGTTTTTCTAACTACAGGCATCAAACTAGACAAAGACACCATGTTCTTCTTGAATCAGGAAGTCAACGGTGAAGCGAAGCAATCTGGAGCACCAGCGAAGAAACCGCCAGTTACTAAGGTGAATGGTAACGCTTCGCCTACGAAGAACAAGATGGCTGGTGGAAAGGTCTTGCGGAATAAGACGCGGAGCGCAGCCCAAGAGGAGATGAACCAATCAACGGCGACAAAGATTGCAGAGCATCAGAGAGAGCTTCATGGACGACTACAAACCAATGGCCTTGCGAGATACTCCGAAAGTGGAGGAGGAACTGGCCGCAATGAGGGAAAAGGGTGGAAACGTTTCCAGAGTTACAAGGGCGAGGCCGCACTCCCAAAGGAAGCTGAAAACCTCCGAGTGCGTTCGTTCCTACTGATTCGCAGGCTCGCCCCTAACTTTGCAACTAGATTTATATTGACAGGAAAGCGCAGACCATTATTTTTCCCATCCACGGCTTTGCAGTTCCGTTCCACATTAATACGATAAAGAACGTAAGCAAGAACGACGAAGGTGATTTTACGTATTTGCGCGTGAACTTTCAAACACCCGGCCAGCTTGCGGGGAAGAAGGAGGATACGGTGAGTATTTTCAAGTCCCATATTTTGCTCACCACTAATCGATCCCTAGCCCTTCGAGGACCCAGATGCCACCTTCATTCGTTCGATCACGTATCGCTCTCCTGACGGCCATCGTTTCGACTCAATATCAAAGCAGATCACAGATCTCAAGAAAGAGGTAAACAAGCGTGAGCAGCAAAAGAAGGAGATGGCGGACGTTATTGAGCAGGATGTTCTTGTCGAGGTCAAGGGACGCCGACCAGTCAAGCTGCCAGAAGTCTTCATTCGACCAGCTTTAGACGGGAAGCGGTTGCCTGGAGAAGTTGAGATTCACCAAAATGGTCTTCGGTACCAGTCCCCTATGGGATCCCAGAGAGTCGGTGCGTGACCAACTTACCAACTTATGTGTCACAGTATTCGACGGATCACTTGCACCGAAATCTAGACGTCCTCTTTAGCAATGTGAAACATCTGTTTTTCCAGCCTTGCGATCATGAGCTATTGGTTATCATTCACGTCCATCTCAAAGCACCGATCATTATTGGGAAGAAGAAGGCCCACGTAAGTTGACTGTACTCCCTTAGGCGACTCCATCTTGACTGTGTACTCTATTCTCAGGATGTGCAGTTTTTCCGTGAAGCTTCTGACGTGCAGTTTGATGAGACGGGGAATCGTAAACGGAAATATCGGTATGGCGACGAGGACGAGTTGGAGCTGGAGCAACAAGAGAGAAAGCGGAGGCAAATGTTGAACAAGGAATTCAGATTATTCTCTGAGAAAATTGCAGAAGCTGCGACAGCTTCGGTAAGTCGTGGTATTCTGATCGTATGGACACTGCTAATTACCACTCCAGACTGGTGACACGCTCGAGCCTGATATTCCATTCCGCGAGTTGTCGTTCGAGGGTGTCCCATTCCGCACGAACGTCCGGCTGCAACCAACAACAGAATGTCTTGTTCACTTATCTGATCCACCGTTCCTCGTCGTCACTCTTGCTGACATTGAGATGGCATCTCTGGAGCGCGTGCAGTTCGGTCTGAAGCAATTTGATATGGTTCTTATTTTCAAAGATTTCACGAAAACGCCATTGCACATCAACTCGATACCGAGCGCGCAGCTGGATGATGTAAAGAACTGGCTTGAGTGTGTCTCCACAATTTTCCATAGACAGGAGATACTGACAGATGTCCAGTTCTGTTGATATTCCGTTGAGTGAAGGACCAGTCAACCTGAACTGGGGTCCGATCATGAAGACTATCAACGAGGATCCTTATGAGTTCTTCCAGCAGGGCGGGTGGACATTCTTGGGCGGTGCTCCTGGTGCTGAGGAGGTGCGAAGTAATGTGTCTCGTTCCCATCAGCCACTGACGGGCTTCTGCAGAGCGATCCTGACGATGCCTCTCAATCGGAATCAGAATTCGAGGGAGAAGTTTCCGTTTCTGAAAGCTCCGAGGACAGTGAGAGCGATTACGATGACGGGTCAGATGCTAGTGAAGATGAAGGTAGCGGCTCAGACTTTGGTTCTGACGATAGTGATGGTACGAACCCAGATGTCTGTCATTCGTGTATCAAGAACTAACATTATAATCAAGGTGACGATTGGGACGAGCTCGAGAGAAAGGCTGCCAGGGGTTCGTGGCCGTTGAGTCTTACTCCAAGACGCAATCTAATTTGTTTTTTTCTTATAGCCGACAAGAAGCATGTCGAAACAGGTAAAGGACATGATTCGGACGACTCTGATCGGCCAAAACAAAAGTCAGGCGCGAAGACTAAGACCAAGACTAAGACCAAGCCCAAGAAGCGGTGACAGTCTTCGTCCTCATTCTTCATACGAGCTACCAAGTGTTGGCGTTTGTTTCGCTTGAGATCTGTATACTTTACACCCAGTCTTCGTGCTATTCTCGTGTCACCCGTTCGGCCTTGTATGGCCTTTAATGACATTTGATATGATGCTCTTCGTGTGCCAGTCGACAGTCACGGTCGTACGCCTGTTCGAGTCTTTCGGTCATGATTGAAAATAGTGGGCAGACAGCCGCTCTTATACGCGATTTCTTGATGGTCTAGAGACAATTTACTATGGCACAGTGCGCGAAAGAGAATAATGTAAATGAATCTGTTCAGTGAGTAGATTGGGAATTCTAATCATATTACATATAAATCACTTGCAGAGAAGATTGTCCGGGATAATGCTGACTTTGTACTCCCAATCACTAATCATCTAAATTGGATCTATGTAAGAACGATATGACGAGCATCGGCACACATATTTGCCCTGGTGCTTATACAGGAACCCCATTGAACAGATTTACCTGGTTTCTGTCCACAAAGTTTCAAATGCCTGGACTTTCCGACTCTCATTTGTTGTGAAAAATCCTATTTATTCAGATTCGTGCTAGTGGATGCACTGTATATATCTGCAAGCTTCCGAAATTAATACCAATCTCGACAACAAGCTGTACTACCATCACCTCTGCCGTTGATCATGATTGCATTGCGGCGCATTCGGGTTCCTTCACGTTGGAAGAATGTGCTGATGTCAAACGATAAGAGTACACGCTTTCACTGGAGTCACGGTGGCTATTCAGGCTCATCGCTTCTCAACTGGTTGATACAATTCTGTTGTAGGGAATGAAATTATTTTTGTGTGCAGCATTGACAAACTAGATATTGCGGTATACAATAACACAACCGGCCCGCCAGAAGTCGAAGTGCGATAACGGTGAGGCTGAACCTAAGTTTGTGGATCACTAGTATGACTAATTCTAGTAGAGGCAATACCGTTCCAAGTAGCTAATTTTGAGTCTTCCCATCGCAATCTGTCTGCGCAGGTCTTCAGACTTCCGCAGAGATTTTGACCTGGTGTACTTGAATATTGTTCGGATCTACTACTGTAAGGTCACTATTACTAGTATATCTGCAACTAGCGCTCATTAGTCGCGTTACTGTCGCGTGATGTTATCGTCGCATACACCACGTTGCTCCGGGCCACTGCAGACCACCAACCTGGATTATCGCCAATGTCAGCAGAGGTCGATGTGTCTGCACTCCCAACTATATTTGATCCCTTGACATGCACTCGCAAGGGCCTATGTCCTGTAACCGTCATCAGAAACGAGGCTGGCCCCCTCGAGAGCCATTCTCTCTACTTTGAACAGCATGGATCGGGCCCAGAGAAGATGCTATTCATCATGGGGTATGCATCAGTTTGTGTAAACCGTACAGAAAAACCCATCGGCCGTCCAGGTTGAACAGCACCTCGTTTTCATGGTTCCCACAAGTGGACTACCTCAGTCGCGACCTGAAGTACTCTGTCCTCGTCTTTGATAATAGAGGTGTAGGCAACAGCAGCGCGCCTAGAGGACCTTATTCGTGCGTGCGAACAGCATACGAAGCCTTCTGTCCTTAACTTGTTTTCATTCATACACCATGGATTCGCTGCTCAGAACGAGTATGATGGCAGAAGATGTCATAGTATTACTCGATTACCTTGGTTGGACAGCTAACCGTGACCTTCATGTAATCGGACTTTCGCTGGGAGGGATGATTGCGCTAGGTACGCTCGCTTGTACTTAGCTTTCGTGCGACCTAAACGTACTTGGTTGACAGAATTGGCCAGTAGAATTAGCGACCGAATTGTGTCTCTCACACTTGCTGTCACGAGGGCGAAGAGGACCATTCGATCATCCTTTCCTTCTGTAAGTCATCTCTAGGCATCGAGATGATCGCACCAGCTCACTGGATCAGTTAACGGGTATAACCTCATTGACAAGGTAGATTTGAGTATTATATACTACATGACTAATGGTTGACTAGAGCTGGAAGATTGCTTACTCTGAAAGATCCAGACGCAAAAATCCCAGTAGTTCTGAATATGATATTCCCACAGTCATGGCTTGATGCCACCGCAGAAGACGATCCTCAAGGTAGAACGAATCGAGTGATTCAAACGATCGTGAGTCCCATCTTTGAGGCCTCTTCCATTTGCTTACCTACAAGTTCCTCGTTGAACTGGTATTTCGTGCAGGAATACCGCAGACGTTTCGAGGTTACACGCCCGCAGCAGCCAGTGGGTGCCCTATCACAAATGGTAGCGGGTCTCACACATAGCGTATCGCCTGAACGGCTGAAGACGGTGTCGGCCTCAATACCAAAAGTGCTCATAATCACCGGTGACGATGACTACCTGGTAGATCCCAGTAACAGCTTTTATATGAAGGAGCACATGCCGGAAGCGGAGTTCATTGAATGGAAAGGAACAGGGCATGGTCTTCAGATTCAACATAAAAACAGGTTCAACGAGCTACTAGAGAGAGTTGCGACGGAAGGTAGAGAACGATTATCAAGTCATAAAGGTGAACTTGCGCGACCGGCTGCCTAATGCTACTGTGGATTACACCAGACTTCATCGCAGATCAAGCATTTAGCTTTTGATGTATAGCTGTGTAGCGGAAGGGACCTGAACATGCAGCAATGGTGTCTACAGTGAACACTATCTGTTGATATGTGGGACACACATTCCGTACATGATCACTGTATTTCCTTGTAAAAGGGAATCATCAGTACATACCTGCCACCTAATATATCCCGACAAAGTGATTGGCTGCGTTATGATTCCCTGGCCATCTTCATAAGCTCCTTCCTAGTCTCAATAGGTACACCTTTAAAGGCATCCCTTTTGATGACGGGCTCGATGCGAATATTGGGCGGGTAGCTATCTCCAGCCTCCGCCTGGCGTTTCAGCAAGATCTCAACGAGAGTCGGAGGCCGAATGTCCGACCGTTTAGGTTGAGGTAATGCCCGAACCTTGGACGTCGAGTCCTGGGTTAGCTGGGTCCGGGGTATGACACGAACGAGGCGGGGAAGCGAAGGGCGCATGGAGCACGCCTCTACAGTAAATAGAGTAGTGGTTGGGAAGAACAATATGCGATGTTGTATTACTCACATATTCCAAAGGTTACGATCGGGACTACTCTGGAGACTCAAATGTCTGGAAGAGGACAGCTTGAAAGTTGAGGACAGCAGAGAAAAGTGTGCGTGACAGCACGTCGCGACTTGTCACACCGCGATCCACTGCAACACACGCGGTGTTACGCGTCGAAATGGTGCAGTCTTCGACTCCTTAGACAACGTAGTGTGTTCGGAATGCCCCCCAAAAATGCTGCCCAAGGTAGTACGGCATCTAAGAAGCGAAAGAAAATGCCAGCAGCCAACAATCAAGACGTACACTCTAGAACAGCTGAAACAGATGCGAAGAGGCCTCGCATGGCGCGAGCTGCTGGTAAGAACTCGGGGAATGAGGAGGGAAAGGAGAAGCAGATAATGTCGCTGGATTGGCCTGAATATTTTGACACTGTATGTCTTGAATCACCCAAAGTAGCTCGGTTTTTTTTGACTGTCTCACTGGGAATATGTAGCTTTTCAAGGTAGGCGGTATGATACAGTAGGTGACTCAAAGCTAAATATAAGTCCTCGTTGGGATCCAGATTTTCAAGGTATAGCTTCCATCCCAACTCTGGAGTGCGGAATTAACACTCGTTGAATAGGCACTAAATACAGTCCTCGCCTTCTGCTCATCTCGGAAGAGCTTTGCGATAACATTTCCTGTTGTCCGCCAATCTGTTGAAGGTCTTCTTAAGCGGTGAGTTTGATGTCCTCCTAGACTGACACGTGCTCAAGACAATTACGGCCTTTGCAGGCCCTTGGAGTTGGCCAAAGTGGCGGAACTGAAGTACGCTATATGATTGAAGATACAAGGGGTAAATCATGCTCACGGTTCATGTCTAGAGCACTGTTGCCGGAGGTGGTCAAATTTGCATATATTCCTCGAACTGAGCTGCGCATTCACGCCGAGTCTCGAACTCGTCGTGAAGGCTCTCCAGATTTCGCAGCTTTCAGCAATGGTCATGCCTCAAGTTCTCAAGTCGGTGATGGAGCGGACGAAGATGAGCACGTCCTTGTACTTGACCTTATAGAAAATTCCAGAGGGAAGAAGAGTTCGAATTCCGGGTACGCCCCGTTACCCCCAATATTGATGCGTTTTTTTTTCTTCTCACAATATTGTACTAGGTTTGCATACAGCCTTCCACCAGCACTATCTCCGGAAGCAACCAAAAAATTGATTACTAAGAGAAACGATCGTTTTGTGCAGGCGGTGAATGAGTATGCTCTCATCTCACAAGTGAAATACAATGCACTCGTATACTCATCTATAGCCACGCAGGCTTCTTGAGGCCACTCCGAAAACCGAGGATCCAATAGTATTGCTACAGGCTGCTGCTCGCGATCACATACCTGTGGACCCATCCGCTAGACACTTGCTAGGTCCATCGCAACCAGCTCGCAAGACTATCCCCAGTTCCTATGACCGTCCCTCCGTCAACGCAGTGATAGACGAAATAATGGCGCAAGATTGGTACTCTGACCAAATAGTGGACAGAAGGACTGTTGATGCTAAGGATGGAGTTATCGGTAGGTCATCAGACTAACTCCGTTAAATACTCTATTCAATTGTCTGTCAATCATAGGTTGCTTGAATTCTCCTCTGTCCAATAGTATACAGCAAGCCCTCTGTGATGCCCGGAAGATTACTTCTCTATACACTCATCAAGTCGCCGCAATAAATTTTCTTTCTCGAGGAAAGAGTGTTATTGTATCAACTAGCACTGCTTCAGGGAAGAGTGTCATCTACCAGGTAGATAGCGCGTATAAAGCGTGTAGGTCTCGCTGAAGTGTCCTCTGAAGGTGCCTTTGTTGCGGTTCTTGGAAGACGATCCGAACTCAACGGCGATATTTATCTATCCAACAAAGGTCTGGTGCTCTTCGAAATTGAATATTTCAATCTCACGTTCGCGGTCACAGGCACTCGCCCAGGACCAAAAGTTAGCGTTGGAGCAGCTTCTTTGCTCGTGCCCTGGTCTGGAGCATACGAAGGTAGCATCCACAGCCGTTCAATGGTCTGTACTCTCATGCCTTGGTCACACAGGTTTTCACTTACGATGGGGATACTCCACAAGACCAAAGGGCAGGTAAGTTCAGGGCAATTCTGTATATCGAGAAGTTTATGAGTTTTGCCTTAGGAATCCGCGAGTCGGCATCGGTCATATTCACAAATTTCGTACGCATTGGATCATGTTAGGCAATGTATAGGCTCACCAGTCGCATAGGATATGCTCCACACGTCTATTTTGCCGCATGAGGATCTCTGGCGCAGGTGGGTTCTCTTGCGTGTCTAGTTCACTGTATTCTCTAAGAAATGCTTACCTCTTAGATTCCTAAAAAACCTCAAGTTGGTAGCCGTTGATGAGCTTCATTATTACTACAATATCTTTGGAAGGTTGGCGTAGCTGCTGTTTCTGAGGGCATCTCGCTAATTAGCTATAATTACAGTCATGTAGCACAGGTCATGAGACGCTTTCGTAGAGTGTGTGCAGCAATTGGCAGTATGTTGGTTGAAGCCACTGCACCATCTATCACTGATACTTCAATAGACAGACGGACTTGTTTTGTTTCATGTAGTGCGACAATCGCTAATCCGCGACAACACATGCAAAACATCTTTGGCATCGAGGTCAGTCGGAGCGGGAATTATGTGGACTCTCGAAACGCCACTGATTCGATGATGCAGGATATCGATGAAGTTACTGAAGATGGGGCTCCTTCTGGTCGAAAGGATTTCTTAATCTGGAGAGCTCCATTAACGGACCCGACAGACGAAAAGTCCAGTCGATTGTCCCCGATGTCCGAAGCCACTAAACTAATGCGGCTCCTGATGGCAAGAGGCATTCGCGTCATCCTGTTTTGCAAGGTGAATGTATTGATGCAATCTGCTGCCAAAACATAGATATTAACAAGGATCTCAGATACGCAAGTCATGCGAGTTGGTTCGTGTCGCAGACTACTACACAGTTGTTAGTTTATCAACAACTTTTAGGCGATGAAAACATTAAGAGCAGAGCTCACTGCAGATGGTTGTCTTGACATTCTAGAAAAGGTCATGGCGTATCGAGGCGGTATGTTCTTTATCCTTCTGTTGGATTTATGCAAGTTGAATCTTCTGTCAGGATATTCACAACAGGTATGATCCGTCCTTCGTGAGCGCTATTTTCTACTAAGGCGGCCTGAAAGGATCGACGTCGTATCGAGAAAGAAGCATTTTCAGGCAATCTGCTCGGAATTGTGGCGACCAATGCACTGGAATTAGGAGTGGACATAGGTGTCCTTGATGCTGTTCTTATGCTTGGATTTCCCATGGGCGGCGTTGCTAGCTTTGTATGTGGTAATTCTGTCTGTGAGACTCGTTCCGCTGAACCGTTCATAGCGTCAACAAGCTGGCCGAGCAGGACGCCGAGCACGAGACGCTCTAGCAGTCTTCGTGGCTGATACGCTCCCAGTCGATCTACATTACGTGAATGCGCCCAATGACTTGTACGACAAGCCCATTAGCGATCTCGTGATTGACCTCGACAGCAAAGTCATTCTGGAGGCCCACCTTCAATGCGCAGCTCATGAATTGCCGTTGGCCTTTGAAGATGAAGTTTACTTCGGACCGTATATGAAAGAGATTTGCGAAACACGTCTCGTGAAAGACCGTGAAGGCTGGTAAGGTTGCCGCCTGCTACAACCATGGACATCTCGTTATGTAATTGCACTATAGGTTCAACCCCCATCCGAAGAGTTTGCCCTTTCCAGCCAAGCACATAAGTCTTCGAGGAGCCCAAGAGGACAAGTACGAATTGATAGACATCACAAGGCTTGGAAAGCCAGGAGGCCATGCCCAGATTCTGGAGCAGATCGAAGTCTCTCGTGCCCTGTTTGAAATATATGAGGGTGGCGTGGTGTGTAACGATGATTTATCATCCATAGCGATATATCTGAGACTCGGCTAGTTCATTCATCAAGGCCTGACATTTATCGCAAGTGTATCAATGGGGTCTTCAGAAGACAATACTTAATATGCACCCAGGTTAAAGAAGTAAGTCACGATTCTAAAATGGCGAGACTGCTCAGGTCCGATGTGAATTGGATTACTGAACCAAGGTACTAAATAGAAATGTCTGCGAATGTAGCCCAAATTCTAATCACATATGATAGGGATTTCACCAATGTGGATGCTGCCCAAACATATCGTATCCGTGAGATCAGAGAATCACCGCTGCATGCATACTATGGCCGTAAGTTTTATGAGGTCTTCGTTTCATAATTGACATTGACTTCGTCCCATATCCAGGTATTGAACTGACGACACTGGTTTATGGTATGCTGATTCCACTGATTGAATTACCACTACGCTCACATGTTATGTGTCTGGGAGGATTTTACAAAATCAGGCACGTGAAATTACCGATGACCTCAGTATTGAATCTCAACTGGAAGTTCAACTAGGAACAAGGCGATCATCGATGCTGTCGATTTGGATACGCCACCCTGGGAACGTGAAAGCACTGGGATGTGGATCGACGTGCCAAAGCGGACCCTGAACCTAATGCGAGACTCGGGCATCAACCCAGCCGAAGCAATCCATTCTGCTGAACATGCGATCTTGAATCGATTCGCGCTGGCAACGGATCTCCGAACTGAGTGCAAGGTGGCAGAGAAAGAATATAAGTCGAAGGAATCACAACGAAAGCGACCTGCACGGTGAATACTATTTCATATGCTATACATACAGACACTAAAATACCAATAGTCTCATATTTTACGAACCCACGGGAAAAAACAGCGGCGTTGCTACGAGAGTTTTTGATCACGGTGAGATCAAATGCGATGCGCTGACCAGTTCCCTTACACTGATGCCTTCAGTGTCTGATATTCTAACGGACGCCTTAAACAGAGTAGAGGCATGCGAATGCGAAGAAGGCTGTGTCGAATGTACGCATCAGTATTCGCTTTCGGAGCATGCACTTATCGTAGACACAACAGGCATAGATAGCCCGCTGTGTAAAGAAGGCAATGAGGTATCATCCAAAGCCGGGGCTCTTATCGTTCTGAAAGCTATTTTGGGTCGCCCTATGGACGCGGAGCTCATACCAGAGTATCCATTGGATCTCAATACATATGATACAGTGGTTGAAGCTCCACCTGTTCGTACCGCCGACGGGGTCCAGGTCGAAAAGGCATAATTATGTCCCGGCGATGAGGTAGTCCAAGGAGACAGACGCTACATTAGAACAATGTTATGCAAGTGGATCGAAGTCCCCCCAGTCATCCTTAGAGAGCTGTTTCGCTGAGCCACTACTTGGCCATGTAGATTGTACAGGTCTCGACGGCACCAGTGTACTAGTCATGCTGGGCGGCGAAGCAAATATCGGAGGTGTTGTCATTGAGGTCATTGGGGGCGTTGGCGTCAGAGTGATGTTGTAGTTAGGGACTTGCGTTTGGCTTATAGAGGTCATAGGTGGCTGCGGTGAGGATTGCATTGGTTGTATCATGATGGATGAACCGAATGTTGAAGAGCGTGGTTGTGTTGCGAGAGGAGTCGAGTCGAATGATGGAGCGAAGGTAGCAGAATTGATGGACGTCGATGAGAGAGGCACTGCGCCCAGTCGTGTTGGACGCCCGAGCGAACTTTTCGTGGTGCGCGCATTGGATAGTCGAGGAGATGATAGCAATGACTGTGCTTGCTGCTGCGGTAGAGGGATCGGAGGAGATGCGGAAGGACTCTGTATTGCAGGTGACTATCGTAACGTCAAAATCACGTCTTCCTGCACCAATGCTTTCATGACTTACAGTGGCTTCATTGGTGAATATGCTGCCCCAAACATCATCTTCATAGTTTTTAGAAGGATCAAGGACGGTATCTGCCTTCACGGTAGCTATGACCGCCCCGCCGTTATTGCTGCTGACTAGTGTCTCGAAATCCATCGTGCCCGCATTAGAATCTCCTGTGAGACCATTGGCCGACGCTATAGATCGATCCTCAATTCTTTGAGAGTCACGTAGATACTGATCGTGTTCCTTCTCAACTCGGTCACCCAATTTACGGATCACTTCCATGAACCGCTTAAATTGTGAGACCGTTAATACTGGGAATTAACGCTGATTGTCAACAAGATCCAAGATTCGACATGTCATGAAATCTTACGAGGACCCATTGACATCGCCCAGAGCTGAGGTAAAACCAGCGTCGCAACGGCTTCTCGATCAACCTTCATACCCGTAGCCTCTTGTACAGCTAGTGTCGCCATCTAGTGGGTTTGTCACAATTCTGTACGTGAACAGAGGGAAATCGGCCATACAGTCACAGCAGGCTCCTTGGTCCGAATCTTAGAGAGCAAGGGAACCAGTTTTTGTGTCAAACTTGTCTTCAGGCAATTATACAGTAAGTTTCAAATAAATCAGAAACATTGACATTAGACATGCCTGATCCAGTGTCTTCACCATAGAGAGAAATGTGACCAAAGTGGCTACTTTGACCGACAATATTCGAGTCTTCGTAAAAACAAGCTACAGGAATTATCAGCCTGCTTACTTGCTGAAAGGACACAATAGCCCATACCGCAACACGAGGGAAGAGCACTCCCTGAACCTCTGCGTAGTCAATAGTCTCGCATAGATCAGGTACTGCCTTGAGTGCACGTTCTTGGACCTGTCAAGTATTAGCTAAGCCACTCAACGTAGTTCAAACATCTCACTGTGCCATGTTCCGATTCTAGTGCGTTGTACACTAGAGGAAGAACGTCTGGAGAAGAAAGCGTGAGCATTTCAGGGCGACTCATAGTGAAAAGCTACGCACGTTCGCGGAATACCACCTTCTCAGTTTTATCCTGCAGCATCTGCAGGTTGTCTAGAAGCGTCAACATATTTTGAGGGGGCTCCTTGATAGCAAAGAGTGGTTTCAGGCTTGGTAGAACAAGGGTGGCGAATTGGCTAGAAGACAGAATCTGCGAGATAGCGAAAATATTCGGTAAAATATACGGTAATAGCTGTGTGTCTTTCATCTAATATGGATATTATATATTGTTCAGGAGTTGGAGAATAGAAAGAGACTCACCTCCTCTAGTAATGATGGCAAGACCTTCCGCGTGCGAAGTCCTTCGGAGAACTTCCCAAGAACGCTTACCAAACCTTTCATAAATGAGATCTTCTCTTCCCGCGATTTTGCGGCAAAGTTAGATCGATCAAGGAAGTTCAGCGTCGATATTGGCAACGATGAAAAGAATGAATGTGAAGGGAGTGAACTCGGCGACGGCCTATTTTGCGGTTGTCGGGTAATAAGAGAACTAAGGAGACCTGCGGTGATAACCGAAGATCAGCACAAGGCAATGTAATCGACCGCAGAAACTCGCCTCTCAAGTCGTGATCCAGACGGTCCATGCCCGGGAGTGGCTTGCCAGCGTTATCACGCAGAGCACTAATACTACCATGGTTTCTGAATGGCGGATTGCCTTTGCAATGCACTGCATATATAAGGCATCCTAGTGAATATATATCTGATGCAGGATCGAGGACCTCGTCTAGGGCATACTCAGGAGCTACGAGAGAATAAGTAAGGTCCAAATGCTGTGCATATATATCCCACATACCCATGTAATCAAATGACCGCTGTGTATACGGGGAGACACGCCCGTCGAAGGTAGGAAACTCCCACCGAGTGGACCCACCACCTGGCGCCGAGAGGGGGATAGTCAGGCCAAGGCCAGAGATTTTCCAGTCGCCCTGTATCATAAATAAGCTCTTAAATCCCAGTGGGATAATAAGGACACTAACAGCGCCGTTTATCAATATGCTTTCAGGGAGCAGATTGGTGTGGATGGTACGTGCGGACGTGTGCAAGAACGAAAGCCCCTTGCAGATCTGCAGGATCCCCTTTTGTATCTGACATTGAGAAGGCGCATAAGTACATGAGGAACGTCACCCACAATTAATTATGTTACCAACTTCGACTTCGTCCAACTCGACCAGCGGGGTATACTGATAGGAGCCTGGAATGGACAAGTACAGTGACGACAGCACAGGCTCAGTGGCGAATATCAGTTCGTTGCGCGTCTCTTCCAGAGGCTCCACCATTTCTGACTCGATGCATATGCGCGATGAGGAACATACTTATTCATGTGCAATGGAAAACTCACCCAAGATACAGGGGTGTCGTAGCCGGCTCAGCGCGGACGCCTATGATCGTCGCGTGAACTCCCTACCATACAAGATATAACGGCTTCGTACCTCGGCCTTCAACACCTCGATTATTCTCTCTTTCGATGCAGGCCCTATCTTCTCCATCTCCGTGTTGCGCTTGTCCGCGCTCCAGACAGAAACACGCTTATACGTGACCTTGTGCGTCGCCGGTTGCACGCGCCAGGGGCCGACATTGAATGGAGGCGAGGTTGCGGGTCCGGGGAGCGAGCTGGATGAAGGACCAGATGGTGTAGGTGTTCCCGTGCGGCTTATAATGGAGGGTCCGCCGCCGAGATTATAATTCTGAGATATGTTCGTGCGCGCGAAGAACGAAGATGCCACCGCGAACATGGTGGCTGCAAGCAAAGTGCCGCGGGCTCAGCCGGAGACTCCTGGATAGCCAGATACAACAGGAGTAGGGGCGTTTTCAGCGCGGAGCAGGTCGTCGGCACAGAAAGGCCAGATGCGCAGCGTGAAGCACAAAGTTATGCACGTACGCTAGCAGGACTGGTCGCCATCAAGACTGCCCTGATTTATATTACGTAACGAGCGCCTCGAGACTGGTGGCAGATTTCACAAAATAAATATAAGGCATAACACAGTGGAAGCTAATGTACAGGTATGCCCATTACTACTCATACTCACTTCAAAGATAATTCAAAGATGACCACAACGGAAGCTGCGAAAATACAAGCCAACTCTACAGCAGGGTGGTATCAGAAGAACTTCATTTTGGATACCCTAGAAGACACTGAGCCTAGGATGTGCAGGTTAGCACGAACGGACATACCTGATGCGAATAAATACTCCCACAAATGTCAGGATGGGGCAGACTATATACGCTATGATACGCAGGAAGTGCCAGCTGTGCGTCGTCACCCAGTCAGACCATGCACCACCGAGATGGGCCGTAAACAACAGCATTGGGAGCAAAAAATACCCGGACAAGCTGCAGAGCCGCGTTAGACTACATGACTCGCACATCGACACCACACCTACCGGTGATATTTCCAAACCAGTTTGGCCTGGGGGTTACCCCCGAAAAGGCGACCACCAAACCAAACACTTCCTCCCCCTATAAATGCTTGTGTAATGATCCAGCTAATGGTAATATATCCACATGTCTGACGCTCATGATCAGTACGACGCGAACTACGTGGTACTCAACTTCAGCTCACACCGTGCCACGTCGTAGCATGAGGAGCACTGTGGATAGTCTTGTTTAACCACATAGCGGACGTACCAATGCTGATGGCTGGCAAGCCGGCACCCAACATAATTCTTTGGTGGCGGCGGAACCCCAATACTTTCGAGGTAGGCTTCGAAGTGGGCTGCAGCGTCAAAATACCTTTTGCCATGCAATGCGTATTAGGAAGTCCATGACAGGTTGGGTAACAGAGAGACACATACCAAACACGAAAAAGGCAATTGCCGTACTCTGCAGAACAGGATGCCAAAAAAACCATCCCAAACCGAACGGTTCGTTGGCGAAGACGATCGCCCAGGTTACGAGTGTGAAAATCTAGGGCCCGAGCTAGTATGAGACACAAAGGAACGTTACTGAGATCAAAACGTACACCAGTAGCAACCTTCACGTAAAGTAATATAAGTGTTCTATATCACAGCGATGCGAGCGAGCACGCACCAATACTGTCATCTGTGCAGCCGCATCTCCAATACGCTCTTCTGGCTTCCCTATCTCGTCTACAGCAGCCTCCTGTGTATGCTCGAAATCTACGTTTAGGGGCACGTCTTCGGCGTTGCCGGGGTCGTTGTCCAATCTAGCGTCGTGGGTGGGCGTGGATGGCAGGGTGATAGCACTCATGATACCAATTCTGTACGAAGGCGATAAGGGGAGTTGGTGAGGACTGGCAGAAGGCGCCGAGGACGAGCCATAACGCTGTCGAGCACTGGCATGACGAACTTGCTCAGGTGGCGGACAGTATGCGGCTCCAGCCGGCTAGCCGACGGACATTCCCGGTGCTAGCCCCGTGGGGAGGATCTCGATCTAATCGGTTTCCACGCTGGGTGGCTCGACCCTTGCATCCGAGCCGTCTCGCTTCGTCTCGTCACCCAACCCAGGATGAGAGCCACTCCTCGTCTTCTGCGCGCTGTCGCCTCTCTGCCCCCATCACGAGCTTCCAGCATCAGCTTCATTGGTCTCGGTCGCATGGGCTCAGAGATGGCGTACAATCTCTTTTCCCGAACCCTTGCTGAGAGCGGTGGTAGTGCGCGTTTCGTCGTCTGCGATGCACGCCAGGTCGTCTCCGAGTCGTTCGTCGCAAATTTCGAAAAACAATTCCCCGGGTCGCGAGTAGACGTCGTAAGCTGCCCTGAAGAGTGAGCATCGTCCCGTTCTCTCTCTATATGCGGAATTAGACGAGCAGACGATTGATAGGGCGCTGGTCGCGTCACAGACGGTGGTCACGATGCTGCCATCCTCGCCGCACGTGCGCAACGTATATTTGGAGTCTGGAGGAATCGTCCCAGCTCTTTTGAGCCTGCCTCAGGAGGCAGTCCAATCCACGTTATGCATAGACTCAACGACTCTAGACGTGGAGGTTGCACGCGCAGTCGCACAGGACATCAGCATGACTGGCGCAAAGATTGTAGATGCTCCCGTGTCCGGAGGCGTCACTGGCGCCAAAGCTGGCACCTTGAGTTTCCTGGTGGGCGGTACACAAGGAGCGTTTGACTCGGCGAAACCAACACTATCGAATATGGGCAAGAAGATAATTCACTGCGGTCCATCCGGCTCCGGATTGGCGGCGAAGATATGCAACAATTTGGTGCTTGGGGTTCATCAAATCGTCGTCGCGGAAGCAATGTTGCTTGGGCAGAAGTTGGGACTGGGTGCACAGGTTCTGGCATCAGTAATAAACAGCTCTACAGGAGCTTGCTGGGCCAGTTCCGTCAATAATCCCGTTCCTGGTTCCATCCCGGATAAATCCCCGCCGTGCGAGCGCGATTTTGAAGGCGGGTTCGCAACAAGTCTCATGCTGAAAGTGCGTGCTACTCTTCCATCGGCGTTCAAGCAGTTGTCTGACGACTGATCTTAGGACATGGGCCTGGCAAAGGATATCGCGAATTCTGCGAAAACCCCACTACCTCTAGGATCCGCAGCTGAGCAAATATACTCAGATGTCATTCAACACGATCCCGACCTGGCGAATAAGGATTTCTCGTCAGTCTACAGATACCTGCGCCTTGCGAATAATCAGACTCAGTGAATGTTCGTAAATTTGTGAATCTGTATCGTTCCAATAATCTCGTGAGCGTTGATATCATATCTCCTGCATCAAGCCGATTTTATTCACCTTTTTGGACTTGTGCTCTTGCAGTGGACAATATACCATGTACAATTTTGAGCGCGTAAATAGTAGGATAGGAGTTGTAAATACCGACAGACATTTTTTCCTACCATGCAGTTAGTGCCCAAGGTGCCGGCCCCAACGCAACAGATGCCTAAACCCACGTGGGCGAAATGAGTGATGGGCAGTTATCCCCGATCATTTTCAAGTTTTAAGTTCCCTTTCATCACGAAGAACATTTGCTTTGTATCATCCAATCAGCCCTTTCATGTTATTGCGGGCCGTACGAAATTTGTTTGCGCGCCGCTCAGGCTATGGCGCAGCTTCCATCGAATCCTACTGGTTCACCCTCTCAACGAGATGCGCTTGTATCCTAGTGTTGAGTGGCCTGTAGACCCAATTATCGTATAGGATGATGACGTGTAAACCCACGAAATCTCTGGCATCGAGAATGGTTGAACGACTCGGACGCTCCGATAAAAGTTATAAAGCAAAAGTACAGCACAGATATGATGAAACGCAAAACAATCTCAAACACCTTGCATATCGATAGCCAATACAGCGTGTATGCTGCCTGATGAGATGCGCTGAACGCTATGCAAGACCAAGCGTTCGAACGTGATTGGGCCAACGCCGATTTCCCACTTGTTAGAGGAGTTCGGTTGCGTTGGATGAGTCTCCTAAGGAGATTGTGAGTCTTCCGTAGGTTTCTGCTAGAGCATTAGCCGCCTACCATGAGATTTTTCATGGCTTTGGCAATGCGAAAGACCACTTCACGCCTAGTATTCTTTCGGATCCATATCTGGGGGTCATAGGTATAATACGGACGGTCGTCACGCCCGGATGGCCACTGGAGACTCGTTCGTTAGATCTTAGATAATTCGCTTTCGCAAACAGGACGTACCAGCACCCGGAACGAAGGTCGTTGAGGCCCACACCAGTCCGAGAATACTTGACTCTCCGGGTCATCTGGCTCCAGCTTCGCACTCTCTGAGAGAATACGAGCAAGCTTGACACCGAGGTGTCCGTTGGTGTAAAACTTGACTTCCGGACTTGGAGTTAGCTTGTTTCCTCTCCGAGGTGAATAAACTCCAAGTGGCACCGGGAGATGCTAAGGTGCTTCATCAGAATTGGGCAAAGCAATCGGAAAGTTTACCATGCCTGCGCATGTCCCAACTCGAAATAACCCACCATCGTCCTAAGGCGTTAGAACCCTTCGGCGTAGTATTCGCAGAGAACCAGCAGGACACACCACTTGCTTCAAAGCGGCTGTGGACTATGGAGCAGCGACGCCATATTTATAGCAAGGAACCTGTTGTATGCAATACCGTCGAACATCCAGATTTCTCTCTCGAATACCCAGGTAGTACGCTTAGATCTGCAACGCGCAATATCTGCAGTCAGCATATGAGGATATCGAATGAGTCATCAGACGCCCGAGCATTGCGCACTCAACATCACTTATCGTGCGTCTGCCGGCAAGACATATAATACTCATTCAACAGCGCCATATAGATGACATGACCATATGAACTCGGGGCGAACGCACAAATATCTTGCAATTCAGACCTTCACTGAAATATTTCCGATCGCCAGGGGATATTCGTGTGTTGCGTCATGATTTTGATCGGAAGAGTACTGTGTCCATTTTCAAATGATCGCTGATATCTATTCATCCGGTGACTACATTATATGATCATGTGTATATAGTGCTCACCTCTCACTTATAGCTGACCACCGTAGCTGCAGTCGCTGTGGCAAAGACGAGATATCGACGAGACATTGCGCAGTCTATATCGTATCCGCTCCGAAGCATGACAAGAACGTGCCCTCAGGTTGTTACTAATATCCGCCAAGGAGAGTGGCAGGGCGGCGGGATATCCAGTAGTCGACTAAGGAGCAGATAAATCATATCTGGAAAGAAAGACACCACAATTGTCGTTAGATGGCTCTTGTGATGTGCAAGGGTCGATCGTTTGCGTCCAGCGCTAGTACTGAACTTGAAGTGCTGAAGTCGCATATTCGAAGAGAATGATCAAATTGACCGAAGGTCTAGCATGAGCCCTTCTTACCCAACACCGAAAAAAAACACCTTGATGCCAGAAACGAGTCGTTAACTTGTCGCTCTTGATCGGTCTTGACCACACCATATCGTCATGCTGCGAACGCCGCCAAGCTCGTTTGTAGCTCGTGCAGTAGCCTTCCGGAATCCGCTGTCCCTATGGTCACGGTTGCCCTATGGTATCAAAATGCATGACTCGGATGAGTCACACGATCGGCTCGCGCCCATCAATAAACACGTCAAATTGATGTTCGAGTACAGATACTTCCTTCAACCTTCGCTCTCGCAGGCTTTGGATATCGGTATCTGATCTTCACCTTGCTGTGCTACTCGGAATGCTCTCTTTATCGAGAGGACCCATGGCTACAGCTAGAATTGACGGAGAGCTTGGGAGGTTGTTGTGACGAGAACATGAGTGGAGAGGCGTGGTTCAGACGTTAAATCTGTGTTAATTCGGCCGCGCTCCTTGCTTACTCCACTGCTGCACAAGTCCCAACTACTACATAACTCTCGTTCTCAAGCTTTCCAAGCCTGTGGACTGTACACCAGAGAGCGGCCCCATCGATAGGAAGATGGTCGCTGTTGACCTGAGGGCGACTGAAGGCGGCAGGGAATTTGGTGAGCAATGTCGAATCGTTTTTGACTAGTTCAGTCTGATTTCATGTCCTGATAGGAATAACCAAGCTTCTTTGAAAACCGTGTACGGCCAACAATGATATTATCATTACCAACGATGACGTCCGAATCCATGAGTCACGTCAAGGACACGTTAGTTATAATACAATATGCCGGTGATGATCGCGCTATCCTAACATCTTAGTAGTCGAACAGGCTGTCTGAGAAACAGAACCATCCTCTATACCTCGTCAAGAGAATATCTTCCGATGGTCCTGGTACTAGGCGCACCATTCGACGGCGCCCAAAAATTGCCATTAGTCTCCCTCCCTTCCCCTTCCCCTTGTCTTGGCTTAGCTTCTGCAAGTCGCTCTCGGCATTGAGAATCTTCTTCTGCAGACGTGCTAATTCTTCTTGGTATTCCTCGATCTCCTGTCTATGTGCAGCGTCCTTTCCCTGGAGCTCTGCACCCATTCTCAAGCGTAACTCCCTCATTTGCCCCTGATGCTTCTCCGCTTGCCTCTCAAGCTCTGATCGCAGCTCAGTTCCCGCCTCCGTTTGAGGAACTGATTTGTGCTCTTCGACCAGCTCTTGCTGCATCTGGAGGACCTGTGGTACTCGGTCAAGGAGTGCCTCTAATATGCCTCTTGCAGATGACGCTGATGGGCTATAGAGTCGAGCCATCTGTGCTCCATGCGCAATCGCATCTTTGAAGAACAGCGGCTTGCTCGCGAGCTCGTTTTCTCTTGCTTCACCTACTCCAACATCCACATCGTCCCACATCGTAGTTACAATCAGGACGTTTGCCATTGCTCTTGGTCCACATATTTTTGTGAACAATCGGAAGTTCTCTCGTGCGATTCCGCCCATCCGAGTGTCGGAAATACGGTGCATGTAGATCACCCCAGATATCTTCTTCCCTTTCTCGTACCTGCGGTTATGATCAAGTCCCTCGTAGACGCTACACAAGCGCGAAATTACTGACGCTTTTTCCAAGAATACCGCGATGTCGTTTAGGATATCCGCTTGTGATCGGTACGTGTCATCAAATCCGGGTGTATCGACCATAACCACTTTCTGCCCCTTCATCTGACAGAAAGCCAATTGGACTTGTTCCGTGCATGACTGCAAGCTGGTCCCAATCTTAAGGTTAGAGTCACATACTGCGTTAATGAACTGGGAGTAGCCCGTATCCTTCGTCAGTACAGATACTGTATAGTCGACTGGCTATTTTCTCCTAACCGTTGTCTTTCCGGCTCCAGTAGGTCCCGTCACCCTGTTCATGTCAGTTGAGTATGGTCAGGCAGCAACTAAGCATGGCAATATGACCTACGCGATGAGTATTGGGGATCTGCCAGAGACATTTGAAGAGATCATCTTGTGGGTTGTAAGAGAGCCGCGGTATGTTGCGAGCCACTGTTTTATTCGGTACACTGCAGATTGGGTTTGGATAACAGGTCCTGTTGTAGCAATCATGGACCGTCCTCCGTCGGCTGACATTGAAGATCACCTTATTGCGTTTCCACATGACCATCTTTATCTGACCTCATGTCGCGCTGTGAATTTTGTATGGATGCGGAAATTGAACTTATTTGAAAGTGCAAATTCGAATAATAGGGCAAATGACACCGACTCGAATCGAAATCTCGTATCTCCCCGGAGCTCAAGCGCTCAATTTCCGTACTTATTCTCGAGTTCTCCACCTATTTCATCGATCTTGCCCAGATAATTACACGCGGATCATGAACATCTCCAAATCCACAGTTATACGAACATTCATGTCCACAAAGTCTGCACCCAGATTTTCTGGATGCGCTGAAAAGTCTTTGCCAGAGATGGTCGACGGTTAAGCCAGGCCACGATGTCGATGCATGTCCTATACCTTGTGAGCTGTTTCCGATCCCCATATCCTAAACATATATGACCCTCCGAAGTGTGTTGCCATTCCTCTTCGCCTCATGCTGTGATATGTCGCAATCATCCTGGTTCCCTCGGATGCCAGCATTTATGGCTTTATGGTATTGACGGGGAGGTCTGACGGTATGTCTGAGTCCTGTTTTAAACCAGTATCGGAACGAATAGTAGGATGATGCTGATGTTATGATCCGCAGCGGTCCTACGCATAGTCTAGTAGCTTGAATTTCCTGCCCGCGAAGACGGGTAAATTTGGCGCAGAAAGATTTTTTTGCATGGCTCACTCATCAATAGGATCGACTTGAGCGAGCACAATACGATCTATAAGGGATTCGATTGGCAGAAGTGTACGTGCAACGAGTCACCGCGTGGTCTCAAGTACTGAGCGCGATCACCAGGTGGATAGCGTCTCATGCTAGTAGCCACGAGCGACCCATGTATGAAAAATTGTCACTGCGTTCAGGCAAGAGGGATATGACTACGTGTGAATGCTAGCTCAAGTCGGCTGCACATAGGACTCAAACGGGCTATTGAAGTGTAAGCTGAGAGTCACGCACAAACCTTACTATGAGCAACTAACTTCTGTCGTCCACGCTTTCGCTAATAACATCAGTGTGCGCGATTGCTGTATGTCTTTCTCGTCGTCCTCGTCATCAATCGTCTTGGGTCTGCAAGAGGTGGAAGGACTCCTCGACTGAGCACCATCTGACGAAGAGATCGGGCGAGAGAAAGGTATTCGAACCGGTTCATAGAATCCGCCACCAGTAAGGAACGAGGGTCAGATTGAAGGCTCAGGAGGCGGCGTTCCTTTCCGATAGCATGAAGCTTGCGATATCCGCACGACCCAGGCAAGATACATCATGGTGGAGTAGCTGTGCGAACAATATGCGAAGACCTAGGACACGTCGATTATGTACAACATCCTATAACTGATAGCTTGAAAACCTCGATAAAGTTTACATGATGCAGCACCAGCTGAAACATCCTGATCCTGAATCATCGTGCTTAGGCCTCTGTTCTATCTGGCCATCCTGCCACTCTTTCTCTATCTGCTGCTTCCCCTTGACGTACGGCTGCCTTTCAACGCCCGGCTGCTCTTTCTTAACGTGTTGCTGCTGTTCCTCGACGTGCTGCTGCCCTTCAACACATGGCTGCTCTTTCTTTGCGTGCTGCTGCTCTTCCTCGATGCGCCGCTCCTCCTCCACGCGCCGCTGCTCTTCCTCGACGCGCCGCTGCTCTTCCTCGACGCGCCGCTGCTCTTTCTCGGCATGCCGCTGCTCCTCCTCCACGCGCCGCTTCTCTTCCTCAACGCGCCGCTGCTCTTCCTCGATGCGCTGCTGCTCTTCTTCTCTCAGGCGCCGCTGCTCTTCTTCTCTCAGGCGCCGCTGCTCTTCCTCGACATGCTGCTGCTCTTCCTTGACGCGCCGTTGCTCTTCTCTCATGCGCCGCCGCTCTTTCTCAGCATGCTGCTGCTCTTCCTCAACGCGCCGCCGCTTTTCCTTAACGCGCTGCTGCTCTTCCTTGACGCACCGTTTCTCTTCCTCGACACGCCGTTGCTCTTCTGCGCGTTGCTGCTCTTCCTTGCATTGTCTCTCCTCCAGTCGTTGCTGTGCTTTCACCCGTTCTCGCTCTTGTTCCTGCCGCCGCTCTCCATCCTCTCGCTGTCGCTCTTCCATGCATCGCTGCTCTTCCTGCTCCCGATGTCGCTCTTTCAATTTCCGCTCCTCCTCCAGATATTGATCTTCTCTCAACAACCGCAGACTGTCCTCAAAATTATCTGGAGTGTTGTATGCTGTATGAATGTCCACTTATACTAGTGTTCATAGAAGGAAAACGTGAACTTACCAATGGATGGTGCTGTATTACCGCGAGAACCCAGGGTATCCTTCTCGCTTTGGATCTTTTGGATCTTCATCTGGAGTATCCCGTATTGTGTCTGAAAATCTTCTAAGATGTTGCTAATTGTCTCTTGCTTGCTAGGCGTCCCCCGGCGGTCTCCTTCCTTGCTTATCTCTTTGCTCAGTATCGTTTCCATATCCGTATATAGCGCCTTGCACGCCGTCGATGTAATTCACGACGGTGTGCTTTATGCTGCTCGCTAGACAATCTCTTGCGCTCCATGTCCAACACTTCCAGCTGCTTCTTGTACTCCCTTTCCTCTTGATTCAGCGCAAAGAAGAGTTGCATACCAGCGTCAGTCTCGGGAATCGACTTGTGCTGATCAACCAATTCCTCCTGCACTCGGAGGACCTTCGGCATTTTCCCTAATGTATCAAGGAGTATCTTTCGCGCGGATGCTTGTGTATTGTCATGGCGGTACAATGAGGCGCCACGGTCCATCGCATCCCGGAAGAAGTTGGTTCTCAGTTGCTCTTCTCTAGCAGCTTCCACAGCTTGATTACCCTTCGTCCACATCGTAGTCACTATAGCCGCGTTCTTCATCGCCGCGTCTCCACAGATCTTGCGAAACAGTCGAAAGTTCTCGCGCCCAGTCCCGGACATCCGATTATCCGAGATGCGATATGTGAAGATCATCGCGGCCACCGTCGTCTTCTTTTCATACCTATAGAGCGATTAGAGTTTCCTGCAAAGAAATCGGGTATAACTACTTACTGTTCCTTGAGAAAGTTTGCGATTTGGTTCAATACGTCTGCTAGAGGCCTTTCCGTGTCGTCAAATCCGGGTGTGTCGACAATACTAATTGTTTGATCATCAAGTGTGAATGTACTTGACTGTATTTCGGTTGTGCAAGACACTAGCTCATGCCCGACTCCGAACCCACCATTGCTGACTAGGTTTGCAAACTGAGTTGGTCATTTTGATAAGATCAGCAGACCCAGAGAACAAATAGAACTTTTCCGATACTCGCCGTCGATTTTCCACTACCAGTAGCACCCGTTATGCTACAAATCCCGCTTTGACATTCAGAAGCAGGTGATAGCTTCGACGACGTACAAAATAATTGGGTTTGTCTCAGGTCTTGAATTAGCCGTAGTTGCAATGGGGCTGAGGCTGTTGTTCATATTGACGAGAATCGTTCAAGTTAACGTTGGTGACCGTTGTTTATGCGTGCAGCGATATATGACCCGAAGCCCCTCGGACGTGTGTCGTGTCGTCCTTAGCCTCATCAAGGTAGTCTCGTAAGGCTTTCCCCATCAATCGTGCATGCTCAAGTTCACATTCTCGTGGTGGCCAAACCCTGCAATGGTGCAGCTGTGTGCGATCACCTTAAGGATACGGTGAGCCATCACGTACATCTAGTGGATCACACGTAGCATACACGCGGCTGAAGAACATGAGAAAGTTAGCGATGCGCAACTCATGGCAAGAGATCGAAGGCGAGAAGCCCAAGGGAATCAACTCACGTCTGCAAATGTTCCATCATTCCCGCATTAACAATTTATTTACACTCTGCATGTACCCTGTGGTATGGAGTATAAACCCTGGAATAAAAATAAAAAAATGTTCCATCATTGCTAGCGTTGGATGCAAATGAATCCACTTGTCACGCGTAACCGTTACGGCCCCACTGAGTGAGCAACGTAGCATTTAGCAGAAGCATAATCTCGTCGTAGCATGACAGCACATTTCTACATCAAGTTGGACATAGCTTTGAAGCAGGCAGAAATCCGATGGGCTGAGTAGACGCAGCAGAACAGGTAGCCTGGTTGACTGTGAGCAGTGGTGGCCGGACCATGTCTGGTTTGAACGCTGCTCCACTTTCTTGCAACGCATCAGACACCTTGTCCTGCTCCAGTCAACAGATAATGGGCTTTTGCTCATGACACGACCAGGAGCCACACTACATCCTATCTTGTAGTGCTCCTCCTTCCAAAATGATGCAAGAGTCTGGAGACAGAATCATGTTTGACGCGGAAAGTCACCGTGTCCGAATCCGTGCGCGTGAATGGGCAGCATTGATGTAAGCACATTCTTTCAAATAGGGACTGACGATGGCGACTGCCAGGTGCGAAGCCATGATATGCGAC